CATCACCCTTTTCTGTAGCATGTTTGGGACTGACTTGGGTATTCTAGCCCCTAAGCACAGAGGGCCTTCCTGCAACAACCCACAGTTCTGTCCCCAACTTCTGGTACTTCCTATCTCTGCTGTCCATAAACCAGGACAAGTCCAGAAGGAGACACACATAGGCTCCAGACTAATTCTTATAAGTGTTCTGGAAGAGAATCTAGGATGCATTTGTACGCTATGTTCCAGAAATAACAAACACAATCTAAAGTTTTGCTGTGGGCTACAGATAGGGAAGGGCAGCTGACATGGCATGACTTTGGCTGGTTGAGGATGAGGCCCTAATTATCAAAGTAGATGTAATTTAATGATCCAAGTCAATACCCACTTTATGCACATAACTTCAAATGATCTTAAAGGGGTCTGAGCTGTTTCAAAGGGGACATCAGCTTAACATAAATCATAAGTGTCAATAAAGGTTAGCTTGAATGAAGAGAAAAATTATTGATGCTCAGTGTTCATTCAGATAGTAAGAATACCAGCTCAGAGGCCAGGACAGACAAACAATCCACTTCTATATCACAGTGGTAGTGCAGAGTTTGCAGTCGGGTAAACAGCCAAAGCAGAACAATGATTAAGTATCAGTAAGTGGAGATAATGAAGAATCAAGCCATCAGACCTTATGAAAGCAAAGCCAGCACTGACATTGAAATCTATTCCATCATTCCATTTTTCTTACTGTTCTCCTGTATCATTGCCATGCTGATCCAAGTGCAGGGTTTTCAATTACAATGACAATAAATAATTGTGTAACTGGAAGTCTCTGCATCATAGAGATATCCATGGATATACATGTAGTAACTAATTCAGCATTATGACTCCCTTACAAGTTCAGATGGGAGAGGAAGATGAACCGTGAGGGAAGTTAGACATTATTTTAGCACAAACATCTTCACTATCAGTGAACACAAGTAGAAATATATTGGGATAAGAGGGAATATAAAAAAATCATTGTCTCACAGGCTTGAAAAAGTTTCAGAGCCCCCAAGAACTTTTACATTTTGTGACTCCCGAGCATCAAGGATTTTGAAATCATGCAAAAGTAAGCCTTTCATGAACTTTCTAAAACTGGCAATATCAAAAGTGTATAAAGAAGTTTACATTTAGTCTTTCCCAAAAATACATTGTTTGAAAACACTGGGAGTCTGAAGCATGGAAGAGTCAACCCACATATGTAGTTTTGTAATCTACCACTACTCCATTTATGTTCATAGCCTTCTGCTGGAAAAAGGCTATACACTTACCTCAACTCAGGGTTAAACTATGTTTATGAACTACAGCCTACACTAAGCTATTTGCACCTTGCTAGAACTTCCTTACCTTGTTTCTCAGATGGCCTTATGCCCATAATAGCAGCCTTGAAATTCAGTGCTTCTACTCAGTTTCACCAATTAGGCAATTAAAGAAACATAATTATATTATAAAGTAGACAGTGGAGCCAAAGAGTTCCTATGCACTTACACGGTTTATACACTTCACCCACAGGCAGCTGTTTATTACAGGGTAAGCAACAGGCAAAACATTGGGACCAATGCATGAATCCAGTATGAATAAGTGGAATCCACAGTAGAAGCTGATATCATTTGAATTGATATACAGCACAGGAATTCCATAAAGCCTGGATCCACCCAAAATTTTATCCCATCCCCAACTTCTAACAAAGTAATATATAACATTTTTTGTTGGTTCTAATGTACCTTCAAAAATTTGATCTCCAGTACACCCGACGGGAGGAAAGGAAGGGGTGCAACAGTGCTGCAAATCCTGGTTCCATTACCTGGATGACTCCCAGATTCACAAATGCACTGATAGCCAGGTAATCGTGGTTGATTGGAAGGATGTGCACCCAATTTAAAGAGCCAGCTGTTGTCAGCCAACTGTTACCCATGCTAGCCAGTTATAGGTGTCCCATGGTATATACTGCACCTTCCTAATACCAGGACATGCGAGAACCCAGATTTTCTTACTGGAACAGGGAACACATGTTGCTGCTTCTATCTGAAGGGTACTATTTCTGATTTGGTAGCCAACAGATTTACCAGGATCCAGGCACCAGATCTGAATTTCCTTTGGCTCTTTTCACTGGGAGTGGGGATGGGGATGGGGATGGGGATAATCCAGCTTGGATTTTTTTTTCTTTCCTTTTTGTACAGGTGGCTAAACCTAGGTGACTGGAATCTGGGGAGTGGGAAACCAAAAGTGGGGTGGATCCAGGAGCAGGCATTTGCAACCCAACCCCACCCCTGCCATCTGGGTTTGGATGGGGAGGCAGTGTCTAAACTGGCTCTCCCTCTCACCCTGACAGGAGTGGGCTAGGGTGGCCATCACAGAGAACAGCCTAGTTGTCCTCTGTCCTCTAGTGATATGAAACCAGATGCCTTCATACCCTCTATTTTCTCTTGAAGAGAAAAATAGATTGATTTATAGATTTTAAGGAACTGGAGAGGACCTTGCAGATCACTGGGTCCAGCCCTCCCTGCACGAAGCTGGAAAACAACTGGGGACAGGTGACATAGAGGTGTCCTGTTTGGTACCAACAGAGGACAGAGTAGCAAAAAACCACAATGTCCTCTATGATGGCCACCCTAAGCGGGACTCAGAAGCTGAGAGAAGGCAGTTTTCACCCAGTCGCAGAATCATAAAAACCCAGGGTTGCAAGAGACCTCAGGAGGTCACCTGCCCGACAGCCCTGTTGGTGGGCGAAGCCCTTGGACTCCCGTCTCTTCACCTTGCCTTGAAGAAGGGCATTGGGGCCCGAAAGCTTGCAGAGCACCAATCTGCCAACTATCTAGTGACTCTAATAAACGAGATCATGTCTTCCTGAAGAACCTTGCCTGCCCGTGTCTAGTCACCTGGCTCCTGTGCCAGCCCTTCTTGAGGGACTGTGAGGAGCTGGGGCAGGGGGAGGGGGGGACAGTGTGAGGATCTGGGTGGAAGGGGTATGGGACTATGGAGATGAGGAGCTGGCGGGAGCTGGAGTGGGGAGTGTGAGGAGGTGGGGGGAGCATGGCGCGATGAGGGGCCTGCAGGGGAGCCCCGCGGGGCCCTCAGCCACGCTGCAGGACCCAGGCCAGCCTCCCGCGCTGAGCGCTGGGCTGTGACCTCCCCTCCCCTCCCCTCCCTGCGCCGCCCGCCACAGCCCCGCG